GTAAAACAGTACCAATATTTCTGATTATTCTGATTATTTCAAACAAGACAATAATCAATCAGTAATCATGCTCTGTTGACATAGTGTATAAATTGTACAGGAGTAAACAGCATTAAGTGGTGGTGCTTCAGTTGCAGCTACTGAGCAGGAGCTAAAATGGCTGTTTTCTGCCTGGTGCCATGTTCACATTAACCAGTAAGTGGCAGCATTGGGCTTCAAAGATGGTTTCATATCTAAGCTTTCCTCCTTTTTCCTGCTTCCTAGAATGATTGTACCACATGCACACACGGGGAAAGGATACTAATTATTATACCAGAGTCAAGTGATGAGGTTTGAATAACATGACCAGAGCAAAACATCTGTTAAGCTAAAAATCGTGAGTCAAATATCAAAGAAATTAAAAAACTTTCAATGGAAAAAGATTGATGAATGGCATGAATCATTTTAAACAATGTAACTTTGCCGATACACATACATGATCCTACCTAAAAACAAATGTTCTTTAGCAGTAGTGGAATATATATTTACTTTGTTACTGTACTTAAGTAATTTTTATGTATGTATCTTTTCTTTACTTAAGTAGATTTATTTTCAGGTACTTTTCTCATTTACTTCATCAAATATATCTGCAAATATCTGTACTTTCTGCTCCACTACATTTTTTTTTTTACTATGCACTGCATCTACATGTTCACATTTTTAATATTTTAAAAATTAATCATTTATGAGAGGGGAGCTGGTCGAATGATCCAATCAGGGTGGGCAGGTACAGTTATTATAGCATTAGACCCCGCCTCCTGCAGCAGCAGCAGCTGAAGAAAGAAACACCATGGATTCAGAACAGGCCACTGAGACTCAGCCATAAAGAGTGTTTTCAGTTGCATCATCTGCAGAATTCTTTATTAATATGACAGAGTCTGTACTATTCTTGTATTAAACAGACTATACAGGAAGTACAGGTAATGATGTTAGGGAATAGGCGACAGTCTGCAAGTATTTACCTTTAATACTTATTTAGCCGGCACTTCCTTACTTTTACTCAAATATAAAAGTTAATATGCTACCTTTACCCTATACGTGAGTACATTTGTATCTATTTATTAGTTCTTTTACATAAATCCATCCTCCATCACTGCTCTTTTGTGATAAAGCACAGACTTACTCCTCTGATTGTGGGCCCTGTTGGTTCAAGTGTTACAGACCATGAAAATAAATTTCCTGTAAAATGTTTCACTGACTTCTGATTTATCTTGAAGAGAAGTATAAACAAATTCCTGTGCGGACACGCCTTGTGAAGCGATACAAACACTAAAACTGTTTGAGTCGGTGTCATCTGTTTCGTCCTGAGATGAGTCATCTGATTGTTCAAGAAACATGTGAAGCGTAAAAATACCTTTTTCGAGGTTGAATCCAGTGTCTTACTTGTATGATGACTCAGAGAGTGACTGTCGGTATCAATGTAAAAATCCTCCTTGTTGCGCAAGTCTCATAGTAATTTCCAAACCTGACCTTAAGTGTAAACATTTAGACGTGATCATGCAATGTAGAACAAGTGTGAGAAATTCCCACGCCTGTGTTTACAAGGCTTGTGTGTGTGAATTGTTTCTTTGTGGCATATTTTAAGTTTTCTAACACAGCAGCAGTCTGTCCCACAATCACACATATCCCACAAATAGAGGCTAACATTGCCACCAGTTACATACCTGTCCAGCACAGAATTAATGATTCTTACATACACCACACAACTAGATTGACATTTACCTAGTTACACAGTTAAATATTTAACAAAGATTTAATTTGAAAAGCCAATTCTTGGGCAAATAATCTGAGCAAGTGCAGAGTTTTCCTGGTTTGCTCTCGTGTTGTCATGATGAATAGCTCAGTGACGTAATCTGATCACATGTCGCCCTCAGGTAACAGCGCTCCTGAAACGAAAGCTCTCAGTCTGAGCTTCCGGTGTTTCTTCTTGGAGCTCCACCTTGTGTAGATGGCATAATATTTTGTTGTAGTGAGAATAGTGGTGCCTACATTGGCTCACATATATATACATATACATATACATATACATATACATATAAAGGCAGAATATGAACAAATGTAAAATACTGGTAATAATACCAATTTATTATAGACGGTAAAGATTGAAGGATAAGAAGTTGTGCTCTTTTTCTTTGTTTTACTGCAATAGACCATGAAAGTCTTCGGGGAAGTGTTGCATAATGGACAATGGACACAATAAGAAGTGGGAGCTGATTTTTCAGACATATTGCTCCTTGACCTGACAACAGAGCAGATGTAATGGAAAGTAGGAAGTGGTCTATGTTCCATTAATTTTTGGCAGTGAGGTGAGGCATTTATTCATTAGTGATTGGAGTATCAGGGATCAGCAGGAAATCCTGACTCATAATCTGCTTCCCAAGTAATAACGGTAAATAGTGATAGTTATGTACTCTGTGGCACATCTACACGTACTAACTATTAATTTGATTGATATGCTGTCATGTAAACAGCATCTATAAATACACTGAATTCAAACTATCCTGCTGCCGTTTGTTGATTTTGTTCACTTTAAAATGTACTGTGCCTCCTACATGGCAGAGTGTAGTTCAGTTCACCTCTGCTGACCTATACTGAAGATAGAGCACATGTTATACTGCAGTGTACAGAGAGAGGCATTCAGTGTGCCCTGTTAGCCAAGCGCAAGTCGGCCATACACACTGACACAAAAACACGCAGTGGATTTGAGGCATGTGGGGGCCACAGACTGCTGCAGGGAGAGGCTGAAGATGTTGGTAAACAGCCCTGCTCATTGGTCGGCACATGATTTCAGGGTGCGGCCTGATACCATGTCTGGTCCTGCTGCTTCAGTGATGTCACTCTTCAACAGAGTGGATCAAACCTGGTGGCACTGTAGGATGAGCACAGGCTCCTCCCTTGGTGGTGATTTTGTAGTTTCCACTCTGCTGGTGTGATCGTCAAAATGAGCAAAGAACTGGTTCAGGACATCAGGAAGCGTGGCGTCATGGCTGGTCTGTGAGGTGTTGTTCTTGTAGTCCGTCAAGACTTTAATGCCTCTCCACATGCTGCGGGGGTAGTTGTTTTCGAAATGCCCCTCAATACGCTGCTGATATCTGCTTTTGGCTTCTTTGATGCCCATCTTTAGTTCTCTGCAGGCATTACTGTAAGCCAGACTTTCTCCTGACCTGTAGGCAGCATCTCTTGCTCTGAGCTGAGTCCGTACATTCCTGTCCAGCCATGGTTTCTGGTTTGGGAAGACCTTGATGGTTTTGGTGGTGAGCTAGGTCTCAGTACATGAGGCTATGTAAGCCAGGACAGATGAGCTGTATTCCTCCAGGTCTGTGCTCCGCGCAAACAAGTCCCAGTCTGTGTTTTCAAAACAGTCCAGCAGCAGTGAAGTGGATTCTTCCCTCCAGATGTTGTTCTTATGGGCAGCTAGTGGAGTTTCAACAGGGTGCTATGCAGTTGCCTCTGCTTACCTGAAATATATCCGGCCTGCAGCTAAATAGAGAAATCATGGATAGCGGATGGTGCTGTATTTATGAAAATACATGTACTACAGATACAAACATTAAAAACATTTAAGGAATGTTGGCTCTCA